CTAACAATTCTTTTCTTTCTCTTTCTATATTCTGAAAAAATAGCATCAAAGATTAAGTACTCTTGCAAAACTCGCTATAATGCTTATGTATGTATGTATTTATACACTTTCAAAAGTCTCCATCTTCTGATGAATTTAGAAAACTGCAAGAAAACGTGGTAGTTTCGGTGCCTAGTGGAAGACGTCTTAAAATAGAAGCAGACCAACCTTCATGGAAGGGAGAACGCGAAAAGCTAAAAAAAGCTGGCTATGTAAACGTTAATGTTTCAAAACTCGCTTTATTAAATTTTTATATATAAAATTTTCGAAAACTACCACACTGCGGTTTTGTTTTTTAATGTTATTAGGCTCTTATTTATCCAAATTTTCAGTTAATAAACACAAATATACAATTTGGATGTTACTTGTTGTTGTAGACTTATTGTAATTTATGGCTTACTATTATAAAATCACATAATGCTGTTTGCAAGTGTACTACTCATATGGTGACAGGTAATAAGATCAACGGAAACAAGGTCACTTGACTTTATTTCCCACCCTGGTGCGAAATAAAGTCAATTGACATTATTGCCTTTTCAAACGCGAAATAAAATCCATTGACACTATTGCTTTTTCAAACATTAAATTTGCTTAGCTTCGCGGCGGCCCGCGTCCGCGCGCCGCACCACGTCACGCTATGCCGCGCGTCCCCCCGCATTTTTATATTTGTAAGTTCTTGGAAGAATTCTGCTGTGTTTTGGCAACAACTTGTCTGCAGTAAAAAAGCATATAGTTTCAAACCAATCAATTAACTTACATGATCTCGGTTCCGATATTAAATAATCAATAATTGTTTATACTCGCATTTTGGCTCATTGGCTTGAATTACATAAAGGAATTTGTTATTTATCATTTAAATACAAATAATAAATTTTGAATACTTTTCCATGCTCAGTTTCTCTCACGCAAANTAGTTGCATGCCCACTAACAATTCTTTTCTTTCTCTTTCTATATTCTGAAAAAATAGCATCAAAGATTAAGTACTCTTGCAAAACTCGCTATAATGCTTATGTATGTATGTATTTATACACTTTCAAAAGTCTCCATCTTCTGATGAATTTAGAAAACTGCAAGAAAACGTGGTAGTTTCGGTGCCTAGTGGAAGACGTCTTAAAATAGAAGCAGACCAACCTTCATGGAAGGGAGAACGCGAAAAGCTAAAAAAAGCTGGCTATGTAAACGTTAATGTTTCAAAACTCGCTTTATTAAATTTTTATATATAAAATTTTCGAAAACTACCACACTGCGGTTTTGTTTTTTAATGTTATTAGGCTCTTATTTATCCAAATTTTCAGTTAATAAACACAAATATACAATTTGGATGTTACTTGTTGTTGTAGACTTATTGTAATTTATGGCTTACTATTATAAAATCACATAATGCTGTTTGCAAGTGTACTACTCATATGGTGACAGGTAATAAGATCAACGGAAACAAGGTCACTTGACTTTATTTCCCACCCTGGTGCGAAATAAAGTCAATTGACATTATTGCCTTTTCAAACGCGAAATAAAATCCATTGACACTATTGCTTTTTCAAACATTAAATTTGCTTAGCTTCGCGGCGGCCCGCGTCCGCGCGCCGCACCACGTCACGCTATGCCGCGCGTCCCCCCGCATTTTTATATTTGTAAGTTCTTGGAAGAATTCTGCTGTGTTTTGGCAACAACTTGTCTGCAGTAAAAAAGCATATAGTTTCAAACCAATCAATTAACTTACATGATCTCGGTTCCGATATTAAATAATCAATAATTGTTTATACTCGCATTTTGGCTCATTGGCTTGAATTACATAAAGGAATTTGTTATTTATCATTTAAATACAAATAATAAATTTTGAATACTTTTCCATGCTCAGTTTCTCTCACGCAAATATCTGACTAAAAAGTACCAAAATAAAGCAATACATAGATACTCCTTTTCTATATATGTACTTTTTTTCATGGTGAAAATTCTGAACGAAAATTTATTTGTAATTTTTCTCAATTATGGTAATTTTTAGTATTGTTTTTAGTTACCTCAATCGAAATATCAAGTCTTTTTACATAGAAATCAATAATAAATAAAATTATAGTTTAAAAAACTAAAACCTCGCTATTATAATTTCCATTCATACTGTCATCAGGTTACTTTAAGAATGGAAATTGCTGCATCTTTTAAGCGCATCAATGTTACCTAGTTACATCCCAAGCTAATAAAAGGGACTTTTTTACTTTTCCGAGTTATAAAGCCTTTTAGAGCGCGCTAATCTGCTAAGTGCGGGTCATAATAATATTGTTATAACTTTGCAACTACTTGATGTTTAAATCTGAATCTTTTTCAAAAATTTCCTTAGATAGCCATCTACAATGCTGTTTTAAAACAAACAAAAAATTCAAACTGTTAACACAAGTTTTGCATTTGAAAACAAACACCCTCTTAATGAACTTGTTTAGCTCTTTTTAGCCCTTTTTTAAAGGAATTTGGCTACCACTAAAAATGATTCACGGCAACACAACACAACGTTGCACACTGCTTTTCACACTGGGTGAAAAGTGATCGTGTAAATTGGCTCAATGAGGGCAAATCGACTAANGCTACCACTAAAAATGATTCACGGCAACACAACACAACGTTGCACACTGCGTTTCACACTGGGTGAAAAGTGATCGTGTAAATTGGCTCAATGAGGGCAAATCGACTAAAACCATGTCGCCACCAAAAAGTTAACCATCTCAAATCGAACTTAACCACATCACTAATTATTGCTGTCCACACTGCGGTTTGAGGTTTATAAAACAGTAAAAATGTAAAGAACAGTGTTCGGACTGAAAACTCGATTCAGGACCAAATCACTGCAAAAATCGGAGCAAAAACAAATTTTCCGTACTAAATTGATTTTTAACCGACTTCCAAAAAAGGAAGAGGTTATCAGTTCGTCGGAATATTTTTATTATTATTTTTTTTTTATGTATGTTACCGCATACCTTTGCCCCACGTCAACCGATTTCAATAATTTTGCAACGGAAAGGTAGTGTCTCAGAGGTGGTCCCATACTAATTTGGTTTAGATCCGATCATTGGATCATGAAATATATAGATATATATATATTTTTTTCAAGTCGGTTTTTTTTTGCTAAAAATTACTTGTTTTATTTTCGTTTCTGACATTAACTCTTTGACTTAAATATTTTCTACTCATGCAAATATAAGAACGCGAGGCAATGTAAGGATAATATGTAATTAGGTAATTTTTAGCACTTTCTATAAAGTAGAACGTATCTAACACTTAATTTTTTAAAGAGCAATAGGATCTTAACCTTTTCTACTTTATATAGATTTAATTCTACATATGTTGTTTATTGGCGCATTGCTATGAAAAAGTTACTTTTTAACAGTGAAATTTGGCTAACTTTCAATTTTTTTTTACTGAAACCGGTGGTGAACACTCAAAAAACGGCCCCAAGAGGGGCATAACATGAAGGCAAAAAAAAAACGGAATAGTTTTGAAGTCAAGCGGAGTAGAGGAGTAGATTTAAAATTTTTTCAAAATCCGGAGTAAATTTAATCTGATCTTAGTAAAGTCCAAACACTAGAAGGGAACAAATTTTTTACATTTTAACGCTACACACACAGATNCCGGTGGTGAACACTCAAAAAACGGCCCCAAGAGGGGCATAACATGAATGCAAAAAAAAACGGAATAGTTTTGAAGTCAAGCGGAGTAGAGGAGTAGATTTAAAATTTTTTCAAAATCCGGAGTAAATTTAATCTGATCTTAGTAAAGTCCAAACACTAGAAGGGAACAAATTTTTTACATTTTAACGCTACACACACAGATCACAGATGGCGGGAAAACACCGGGTTGTATCAGACTTTCGACGTGGTTTCGAGTTGGTTAGCTTTTAACCATCTCAGTGAAATGGTTAAGTGCTGTCATTTTTATATGGCGAAACTACGCCAAATCAGGTGGGTTATCGGGATAACCAATTCATTAGCCATAACTACGTGGTTAGCTCCGGTGGGGACATGGTATAAAGGCCGGTTGTTTAATGTCTGGTTGTCACTACCTCCCAGTTAAAGTTAAACATTATTATCGACGATTTCGACTTCATGCATACAACATGTGAGCGATAAATCAGTCGCTGTATTTAACCGAAGCTTCTACCTCCGATTTGTGTTAACCAGACATTGAACCACCGGCCCTAAATAGCTTAGCTATTCTGTGCTTTGAGCGGGATTTACTTCAACGCTTGGAATGTGAAGATTTTGATCGATCTGTTTGCGGAAAAAAGTCAGACGTGTTTGCATTTAAAAATATATATTAGAACTCACAAGAAAATGTAAATTGGGGTATTCACGACGGTGTCGTAAGTGTCGTATTGTTGTATGTCATAAACGCCTAAATATATATTAAGGGGATTTGCAAAGTACCATCAAAGTCGTATTATGCCTTTTCGCATAAATAAATAGTTGGTTGTGGTTTCAAGTTCTCTAAACATTTATTTAAGCTTTTAAAGTTTACGACATACAACAATACGACACTTACGACACCGTTATGAATCTCTCAAATATGATTATTATCTTATAATTAAACATCGATTGAATTTAACCACATGTTTTGCATTTACTTATTTCAGTTGTGAATTATATACGCAAAGATTTTTTTAAATATCATGTAGGTTAAAGATAAAAGGACAGCATTTTTCACAGGGCACAGGTCGGCATTTTAAATAAATTAAGGTACTGCTAAGTACAAATCAATAATTGAACTTTTATAATGAATCTAATAAATCATCTACTTTTTTCTTTGCTTGGATTGTAAAAATATTTGTGATAGCTTTTTTGTAATTATATATATGGTTGAGGAAATATAAATAACTATGCAGTTTTAAGAAAATAATATATAATTTAAGTGTTTTTTTCTTCTCATTTTTAAAATTATTTAATATTAAATATTCATTTGTCTATTTCATTTACAGTGGGTTTTCCGATTTTATTATTTTACCTATGGGGGTCCGCCTACCAACGTGGGTTCTTTTGCGATGACGAGTCCCTGAAGCATCCATTCAAGGAGTCAACTGTAAAGAATTGGATGTTATACTTTGTAGGGCTGGTATTGCCCATTGGAGTGGTGAGTGAGATTGACCTCAATAAATGTTGTTTCGTGAGGGCCATCAATAGATATGTGTGTATATATGCGTATATACAAAGTAATTTATTTACAATAAAAAAATTTATAATTATGTGCATATGTACATACATTTCACATTGTATTAAAATTTGTTAACAGCACATGCATACATACTATTTACAATGTACATTGTACATTGCATGTACAAGTAATTTTTTCGTTATTATTTGGATAAACCCCATTTATTTACGAGTTTTTATGACATGGTGTTTCGAGGGGAGCACAAATTGACACAAACATGTGCATATGTATATACATAAATATATAGATACCTCGCACTTACTTATTACTACAACCAGGGCTGGGAGTGCTATCCGCATATTCCGGATATTTGAATATCTGCTACACTGAGGAAAAAAATTTTGGAATAAAAAAAAACCCCACTTACGCGGTTTTGTATTTTGTTGATACGCGGTTTCCTTCTTTAAACGATGATATATTTTCATGTATTTATAGGTAACTAGTAAATTATAGGTGATACAATCAAAGTTGTGGAACAAATATTGGTAACGAAGTGATATTCTGCCGAAATCCGCAATAAAATCTGCGTTTTGCTAATTTTAGTCCTGCAATTGCCACGCCCATTTCTAGGGGTTTGTCGCCTTAAAGAAAAATCTTGCCATATAATTATTATATCTGGATAGCAATTCTATCGGAATCCATAATAAATTTTACTTTTTGCAAAAACCCGATGTTTAACACCTTACCAAATATATCTTAACATAAGTTTTCGAAAAAAAAATTCCAAATAATTGTTGATTCTCACAAAATAAACCAGCTCGTCATAAAAAAAAAAATATTTAAAAAATAGTTCTTGAAAAACCCCCAGTTTTTGGAACCACATTTTTTATAGAGAATTAAACAAGTATTACGATGGTATAACTTTAAATCCCTAATTTACTGGTCTTCGCTATGCAAATCAACTTCAAAAAGTTCAACTGTTAATAGCTAAGTTAGCTTTAGGATAATCTTGACCACCTTATATATAGAAATGTTAAGCCCATTTCTTAGCTTTAAAATGGCATTAAGATGAAGTCTCTGTGATCAGCAGAACCCGAGATATAACGATTTGAAGGAGTACATGATTAGTCAGAATCACAAAAAAATTCAAACTTTGACAGATCATATCTCCAAAGACAAAAGCGAAAAAAAATTCCTCGAACACGTGTTAGCTTATTTTATGTATAAATAAAAAAAATTTTAAGCCAATCAAAAGTGTGGCACCAAATTTGGTGTCCGATATGAAAAAGAATTTCGTATCTTTGAATGCCCCAATAATTGGATTGAACACTTGTCCATTACTGTACAAATATGTCACTAAAAAGTGCATAATTTAATCTTCAACAACAACCCCATTACTTTTAGGCACCAGATGTCAAGTGTGAAACATTTTGTATTGCCCATTTCGAAAGCGATTAAACACTTAAGTTTCCAGTTGTTCGCGCCATTTGTTGATGTTATTAATTCCTATTTGCCATCGTCAGCTGTCGAAATGTAACAATTTAAAGTAGCCTCTTGGAAAAACATCGTCACGTTATATACGTTCTCGCATAAAATAAATAAATAGATAAAATTTTGTCATTTACTCGTATTCAATTTAGACATACACTGAGGGAAAAAAATATTAAAATCAAATAGAAACGTAATTGATCTTACTATAAACGTCAACGAAAGTACTGTATATTAGTAAATATTCAATTCAATTACGCGCATATTAAAATGACCGCGTTCGTACTGAAAAAGCATCCGTGAAGTGAGTAATCAAGACAAAAACTAAAAAAAAAACAAGTAAGAAAGTCTAAGTTCGGGTGGAGCCGAACATTAAATACCCGGCGCAAGTATTAAATATATGTTTTTTCACCTTTCCGAAAGCTACCGCTAGATGGTAAGCCGAGGTGTATCAATTTTGAGTAAATTAGCGTCCTTAAATTTCGAAATATTGCAGTTTCAAGCATTTCTGAAATGTACCGTATCGAAGATTTTGTATTTCTTCAAATTACCGTTATATGGGATGTGGGCGCGGTTATTGTCCGATTTAAAAAATTTTCGGCCATTTGGTATGGTGTACCATGTGTAACTGTGCCATGTTTGGAAGAAATTGGTGCAGCGGTTACCAAGATATACATATGTAACCATAAGTGGGCGTGGCTACGCCCATTTTCCAAAAGTTTATAATATTCTTATTTTTCGTCTAAAAATTATTGCAAATATCAATTTTGAGTGAATTATCTTCAGTAGTTACTAAAATATCGCAGTTTTCGTATTTCTGGAAATTACCGTTATATGGGAAGTGGGCGTGGTTAAAGTCCGATTTCGCCCATTTTCAATACCAACCTACCTTGGATTAAGGGAAACCTACATACCAAATTTCGTTGAGATATCTCAATTTTTGCTCGAGTTATCGTGTACACGGACGGACGGACAGACGGACGGACAGACAGACATGGCTTAATCGATTTCTTTTTTCATCCTGATCATTTATGTATAAATTTGTCTATATCTATCTCGATTCGTTTTGGCTGTTACAAACAACCTTTATGTGAACAAAATTAATATACCCTTGTGCACAAGTGCGCTCGGGTATAAAAATTTAATTTGCATGTTGCCTGCAGTGGAATTCGAACCCGACCATCTCCGGATATCAACAACTTGTGGCAAGCATCTTTGCGCACTCAGCTACACCCAGGCATATAAATTTGCTTTCATATGTCGAATATCCATCAACACCACAGCACGAGATTTGTACGGATAAACATGTGTGTGTTGTCACCGCTCTCAGAGCGGCTCCCTGCATGCTTGGGGTGCAGATGTGAACAGTTAAATACGTGCGTAATAAATTTTGTATTAATATTGTATTATTTTTAAATACGAAAATTTTTAATCGATAATCAAATATAAAGTATTCATTTTTACTATGCATTATTTCCCTCAGTGTACTAAACATTATTCATATCCATATGCACGATTCAGAAATTTTTTTCTTTGAATTATTGGATATTGCTACGTGCATGAGAGCACTGAAAATCTCTATATTTATTTTACCTTTTTGCACAAATCCGAATTTTAGCCAAATCACGTATGGTAAAATAGGTTTAAAGAGCTTGATAAAGTGACGTTTTCATAGAAATTTTCGATTTAAAAAGGCAGTTAAATTCGTCTTTATATTTTAGGAATTTGGGTGTTTGGGTTTCGTTTTCACCAAAAATTTGCTTGATATAATTTTACTAGAAATACATTAGGCTGGGTATTATATATTATGATATCTTAGGTCTAAGCTGATTGTTATTGGCCACGAAAGATTAATTTAAAACTTATCTTTAGCTCGCGCAATTGAAGCAAAATGTATGAATTTTGAAAATGAAACTTTGGCTTGTAATACCTATGGAATGCGTTAATTGTTATAAACAGGACGATATATCAAATTAAAGGTTATTCAATTTAGTACCTCACGTTCATTTATCATCTTTCAATAAATCTACAAGTTTTTAAGATATTAATGTAAAACTTACAAAAACTATAATTTTCCCTTATGAATTTTCAATTCTTCATTACTTCAGTAACAAGGTGAAAAATACAAAAAAGTGAGTAGAGATTTATTTCAAATATGTTCGTGCTTTCGGATGTTTCGATAATATTAAAAAGACCATAGCCTTGGTCACGTAGATTTGGCCAGTTTTCAAGATCGTGGTAAATAAAGTCAAACATGTAGTTATTGTCAAAGATTAGAGATAGTTTGATAAGTTAATAGTAGTTTCAAGCATATATGTAAGTATTTACATACATTAACATAATACAATTACGGTGAGAAACGCTCATTTTAAGTCCATTTGTGCCGTCTTGAAAATACCCTGCAGAAAAAAATTACCAATTGATAAAAAATAACCTACTTGTAGTTAGCTTTTTTGCGGGATTTCTATAAAATATATAACTTGTAGTTAGCTACAAAAAGCTAACTTGAAACAAGTGGACAAGTAATGCAGGAGTAAAGCTCGAGATTGTTTTCTTTAAACGCGTTTCTATTTAAATATCCTGCACTTCGCAAATACTTTTTCGAATGGAGGACAAATAAAAGGAAGATCGAAATTTCATATTATCATTTTGATTTTATGTCTGACGGAGTTCGAATATGGGACCACCAACAGCAGAATATGTAAACAAATATGAAATGTAATGAAATAAATAAAGTAAATAAATAAAAAAAAGAAAAAAAAATATTTTGTTTTTCCTATTGATATTTTATGCCCAAAAGTAGTTAGTTACAAGCTAGTTACATCAAATGCAGAGGTAACCACCCTTGACTTTTATCTAATGCAANCCTATTGATATTTTATGCCCAAAAGTAGTTAGTTACAAGCTAGTTATATCAAATGCAGAGGTAACCACCCTTGACTTTTATCTAATGCAGAGGTAACCAATATAGTTAGCTTTCGTCAAAGAAAATATACAGATAATATGTGACTTTTAGCTGCTTCCTAATCAACTTAAAGTTAGCTTATAGTGAGATACATTTCCTGCAGGGTAGGTGCANGTAACAAGGTGAAAAATACAAAAAAGTGAGTAGAGATTTATTTCAAATATGTTCGTGCTTTCGGATGTTTCGATAATATTAAAAAGACCATAGTCTTGGTCACGTCGATTTGGCCAGTTTTCAAGATCGTGGTAAATAAAGTCAAACATGTAGTTATTGTCAAAGATTAGAGATAGTTTGATAAGTTAATAGTAGTTTCAAGCATATATGTAAGTATTTACATACATTAACATAATACAATTACGGTGAGAAACGCTCATTTTAAGTCCATTTGTGCAGTCTTGAAAATACCCTGCAGAAAAAAATTACCAATTGATAAAAAATAACCTACTTGTAATTAGCTTTTTTGCGGGATTTCTATAAAATATATAACTTGTAGTTAGCTACAAAAAGCTAACTTGAAACAAGTGGA